ACAGCACATAACAACAATGACAATAACAAAAGGGAACACTGGTGGCCTAGTCAAAAGAAGCTGTGTTACAATCCCAAAGGCACATGGTTCAAATGTACTAGCTACTCCATAGGAGAAGGCTGGGAAATATCCTCTTAATGCAATTTACTGCCTCTGAAAACTCACGGGAAGGTCAGCTATGGGTTGGTTCTAACTAGAAGTCACACAATGGCAAACATAAGAACTCTGGTAGTGTAGTATATTACACGTTGGGGCCAGTGGGCCATGTGAACCACAGTAACTACTACCCTTAGATGAAAAGGTCAGTGGTTTGAAAACACCATAAAGTCTTTGAAAGATGAGCAAACTTCCCTCATAAAGATGTACAGTCTTAGAAACCTGACGAGTGTGATGAACTGGGATCAACTTGACGCCAGTGAATTTCATTTAGGTATCATCAAAGCTTTGATTTCAACCAACCTGAATTTCATAATCATCTCAGGAACAGGTTTAAGGCCTTCAACACTAATGAGAGAAGACCAGATGAGTTGTGGGAGGATGTCAAATGTATCATCCAGAAAGAGTGCAAACGGTCATTATAAAGACAGAAGAGGAAGAAAAGACCAAAATGGATGTCAGAAGAAACTCTGAAGATTGCACTGGAGCGTAGAGAAGCCAAAGCACCAGGAATAATTCAAGATACTAAAGAGCTGAACAGAAGATTCCAAAAGGCTGCTCGGAATGACAAAGCAAAATATTACAATGAAATGTTCGAGGAGCTAGAGTCGGAAAATCAAAAGGGCCGAACTCGTTCAGCATTTCTTAAGCTCAAAGAACTGAAGAACAAATTCAAACCTAGAGTTGCTATAATCAAGGATGCTTTAGGCAGAATATTAAATGATCCAGGAGGTATTAAAAGAAGATGGAAGGAATATACTGAGTCATTGTATCAAAAGGAATTGGCAGATACAGAAGAATTTAATGAAATAACATTTGAGCAAGAGCCTATGGTGATGAAGGAGGAAGTTCAAGCTGCTTTGAAGGAAATAGCAAAAAATAAGGCCCCAGGAATAGATGGTATACCACTTGACATATTTCAGCTAACAGATGCTGCCCTGAATGTGCTCAACAAGTTGTGCCTAGAAATCTGGAAAACAACCACTTGGCCAATTGGCTGGAAGAGATCTATATTTGTTCCCATTCCAAAGAAGGGTGACCCAACTGAGTGTAGAAACTACAGAACAATATCATTGATTTCACATGCAAGCAAGATTCTACTGAAGATTATCCAAAAACGACTGGAACAGCACATCAGCAGAGAATTGCCAGAAGTCCAGGTTGGGTTTAGAAGGGGTCGTGGTACTAGGGATATTGTAGCTGATGTTAGATGGATGTTGGCTTAAAGCAGGGAATACCAGAAGAATGTCTATCTGTGTTTCATTGATTATGCAAAGGTGTTTGACTGTGTGGATCATAACAAACTGTGGCTGACTTTGAGAAGGATGGGAATCCCAGAACATTTAATCGTGCTAATGTGAAACCTGTACTTGGACCAAGAGGCAGTCATCAGAACAGAGCAGGGTAGCACTGCATGGTTCAAAATTAGGAAGGGTGTATGCCAGGGATGTGTGTATCTCCATACCTTTACAACCTTTATGTAGAACAGATTATCCGAAAGGCTGGGCTCTATGAGAAGTGTGGAGTTAGGATTGGTGGAAGATCTATTAACAATCTGCGTATGCAGGTGACACAACCCTGCTTGCTGAAACTGAGGAGGACCTCATGCACTTGCTGCAGAGGGTCAAGGACTGCAGTCTTCAGTATGGACTGAGGCTCAATGTCAAGAAGACAAAGATTCTCACCACTGGACCAACTGGTAGCATCAGGATGGATGGCGAAGAGATTGAGATTGTTCACAGCTTCAGTTTGCTTGGCTCCATGGTCAACACTCTTGACACCAGCAGCCAGGAAATAAAAAAACAACAACAACAACATATTGCGATGTGAAAGTCTGCTGCTAATGACCTCTCTAAAGTACTCAAGAGCAACAATGTCTCTCTGGAGACTAAGATGTGCCTGATACAGGCCATGGTCTTTGCAATCACTTGTTATGCATCAGAGAGTTGGACAATGACTAGGGAGGATAGAAAGAGAATTGATGCCTTTGAGCTGTGGTGCTGGAAAAGAGCATTGAATATTCCATGGACTGCCAGGAAAACAAACGGATTTGTCTTGGAGAGGATTAAACCAAGCTACTCCTTGGAGGCAAGGATTCTGGGGCTTCGTCTGACATACTTTGGACATGTTGCCAGGAGGGACGGGTCCTTGGAGAGGGACATCATGCTTGGTAGGGTGGAGGGACAGGGCAGGAAGGGAAGACCCTCTATGAGGTAGATTGATTCAGTGACTGGGGTAATCAGGATGGGTGTGTCAGAGGCAATGGAATTGGCACAGAATAGAGCGGAGTTTAGGGCTGTTGTACATGGGGTCGCTATGAGTCGCAAACGACTCGATGGCACATAACAACAACAACAACAATCATCAAAGCAATGTGCAATGATTTCCTCTTTCTCCATCTCATATTAAAGAGATATTTCCTCAAATATAACTAGGTTTTTCTGAGCCCACTTAAAGCATCAAAATAGAATTTTCTTCCCCAGAATGATCTCATTATTTTAAAATAGTTTTTATATGAGATTCCTGTTTTACCCTTACTGGAGGATTTAGATTCACTTACCAGAGAAATTGCTCTTATAGCAATTTCCAAAGGCGCCCAGAGAATCATTGGAGTAATTTGCCACATGGTCTATAGGCAATCTCAGGGTAGGAAACCCAGTAATTGGTCATTTTAGCTACTGTACCAAAGAGTATGTAAGTAAAGGTATTAGTGTATTCTGAATTCCCAGGTAGTTTATAAGTATTATCTGATTGAAGGGGGCACTGGTAGCATAGGCCACAGTTAGATTCACTGGTACACAAGGCCAGGCCTCTCTGATGATTTTAAAATAAGCAACAACTTTGTGAGAAAAAGATGGGAAATTTCCTCCCATACAGTTTACAGCCTTGGAAACCCAATGGTGAGTCAGCCTCGTGTGGGTTCTGTGTGACTAGAGTTACTGACTGAAGACTTTTTATTTGCCCGGAGGAGAGCAAGTACATTGCTTAAAAATAATTGTGACAATTTTTTGTGGAAGAATGAAACATGCCAAATGCGAAATTGTCTTGCATGGGAAGTGTTTCATGGAGATGAGTCTGTGTCTGAGAAGAAATGGTTAAAAAGCAAAGCAAAAAACCAAACCAAAAACCTTCAACTCACTACCATATAGTTAGTTCTTACTCATAATGACCCTTCATAGGGTTTCACAGGCAGCTCTGGTGGCCTGGTGGCAAGAAGCTGCACTGCAATCCTGAAGGCAAGCAGTTCGAGGCCACCAGCTGCTCCATAGGAGAAGAATGGACAATCTCCTCCCATGTGATTAACTGCCTCTGAAAACATGCTAGAGGGTCAGCTCTGCATCAGTTCCAGCTCTACAGTACACAGCAATATATCTGAGGTATATCTGAAGTATAGCTCTCCACATCTTTCTCCCACAAGACTGCTGGTGAATTCAAAGCACCTGAGGGTCATGCTTTGGGGTGAACAGTGCCTATGGACTACACCCTGAAGAGCAAGCGTGGGGGCTGACGGTGGTGGGCCTTTAGGCTGAACTCACCAGGCTCCTTATATTCCGTTCTGTGCCATAAACCATCTGAGAAAAGCATGCTACCTGATCAAATATTTCCCGAATATAACAAAAATCCTGTTGAGTGTTCAGAATAAATGGGGATGTCATTTCCACTTTAAGTAGCTCTCCAATGCGAGCTAAAGAATTAAAAAAAGCCTTTGTAATAAACACTAGCGAGGGCTTAGATGGAGGTTGGGAGGGATCTGCATAGGGCAGGGAAACTGTTCTGAGCGTTTACGTAGTGAAATGTGGGTGAGCTGACAGGCCTGCCTTGTTCCTCCAGCTGCGGTAAGTTTTCTGCCTCAGTCAAGTTGCAGTCCTTCCTGTTACTAGTTTTAGTGGAGAATATTAGAGTCTTCCTTTTCTAATAGATTTCTGCCTTCGACAGGTTCTTCTGCTCACGAGTCCTCTAGTGTGTTATAACTACACCTTTCAATACACTTGTTTTTATGGAGGTGAAATAGAAAACCTAAATACATCTCATGTGTGTGCTCTTGTTTCTTGTCAGTTGTAGTTTCTGAATACAGCCCAAGGAGGAAGCTGCTCCTGACTCATAGCAACCCTGTAGGAGAGGGTAAAACAGCCCCACTGTGTTTCTAGAAGATTACTTGGACTATTGGCAGTCTTGATGGAGGCATAGCTACCACAGTTTTCTCCCACAGAAAGGTGGCTAGGTTCAAACTACTGACTTTATTAGTAGCTGAATGCTTACCTGCTGTATCTCCAAGTCTCCTTGGGAGCTGGGTAAAAACCCACTCATTGCCACTGACTCGTAAATGACCCTCCAGTGGCTTTCAACCAGTGCAGATTGCATGGGAGGAGATTGCCGATCTGTCTTGGAGCTGCTGGTGGGTGCACATCTTGAGCCTTTGGGTTAAACTATCCTATGGACTGGACTCCACCCTCAGAGCTCAGTCTAAATAGCCTTGTTTTCTTGCCCAAGGTTGAAGAAACAAAGGAGATAAAGCACTAGAAAAGGACAAATATGTCTGCTGATGATAAAATCTTGGTGAAAATGTGTTTTGCCCAGGCATGCCCAACCCCTACAATTTTTAAATCAACTTGACAGAATCATCATAGAGCCAGTTATGGTGTCAAATTTCTTTATATTAACTTAAAACAAAGGAAAACAGATCTAATAGTGCATTTTAAAATAGATCTAATAATGTATTTTCCATTATGATAAGTATCAAATCACTGGATTTTTATTTCAATGAAAGAGAAAAAGATTTGACTTTTTAGACTCTTAAGAGCTCTCTTTTTATTTTATTTTTTTAATGTTATCTTTGCTTTTAGTCCTGGAAGAAAGAAACTGCTCGGACCTTGGGGGCCCAGTCAATGGTTACAAGAAAATAACAGGAGGTCCCGGGCTTATCAACGGACGAGATGCAAAAATTGGCACTGTTGTGTCCTTCTTCTGTAACAGCTCATACGTTCTTAGTGGCAATGAGAAGAGAACTTGCCAGCAGAATGGAGTGTGGTCAGGCAAACAGCCCATCTGCATAAAAGGTAATTTACAGATTTCCCCTCCCCCTCCCGAGGTCTGTAGAGATAGATGGAGTTGCTAGATTTCCTGGTAGCTTCCAAGTATATTTTTAAGTCCCCAGAAATATGTCTTTCTTCCTTAAGTTTTCATTGGAACCATTTATAACTTTTAAGTTAGAGAAAGGGAGCTGCTCTGGTGGCCAAGTGGCAAGAAGCTGCACGGCAAACCCGAGGGCAACGGTTCGAGGCTGCCAGCTGCTCTGTGGGAGAAGAGAAGGACGGACAATCTTCTCCAGTGTGATTAACTGTCTCTGAATACCCGCCAGAGAGTCAGCTATGGCCTGGTTCTGACTTGACAGCACCCAACAAGTTGGAAACTATCCCTAAACACATTTGCTTTTTTTTTAAATAAAATAAAAACGCTGTTCATTATAATCACAGTATCTTGATGTACTATCAAGAAATACGAATGCAGTTAGCATAGCTACATAGGAAAACTGCAAATCCAAGGACAGAATTGAAGTAGTTCATAAGAGATTTTAAAGCTGTATTTATCAACTCTATATCCAGATATTAAGTTCAGAGCCGAGTTTCATATATGCAAATCCAAGGATAGAATTGAGGCAATCATAAATATTTATGAAGTTGCATTTACCTACCTTACATTCAATATTGAATTAGTACAAGGTGCAAGAAAAAGCAAAGAATTAAATAGACAACCTCATCCCTGCACAAATCTGAGTGGGGAGGCTTAAGATGTTAAAAAACAAAGATAGTAAACCCTTAAACTCCCAAGCCAGAGCTAGAGAACAATGAAGAGTAGTTGTTCAGAGAAAGGAGAGAGCTATATTGCATGCAATGGGGACATTGCATGAAGCAAGGTAAGACTGGGACTAAGAGGGTAGATTGGGAATAATATGTAGAGGGAAAGAGGAGTTGGGATAACATTCTAGATAGAAAAGAAGTAAAAAAAAATTTATGGTAAACTCAAAATGAGGTAATTGGGGAAATAAATTTTAAAGGGAAGGTTGGACCAGGGCAACTGATGAAAAATTGTATGTAAATATTTGAAGGTTAGCCTTTGGCATGGCAGCGTAATAGCTTCTTAAGAAGTTGATTCACTGGTTACCTTAGGTCAACCTTTAAGGCCTTCCTCTATTGTGGGGTAGGTCAATTGTCTGGATGTCCGCTTACTGGAAAGAAAAGTATGTCCTTGGCCTACATTATCCAGATAATTGCCTCAATCCTCCACTCTCCCTCTGGGTGTTTGTCAACAACCTGAATCATTGGCAAAGGAATGAAAGAGAATGGCTTGTGAAGGGAATGAATCACTTTAGACTTGAGCCAGAAGCTCCCTTCATCAGCAGTAGCACTTTCATTCTTGATTTCATTAAGCATGGGAATGGTGTTACATATATCCTGGGAGATATTTGTCAGTTCTTCTCAGCTAAATTAATACAAGCAAAGTTCTCTAAGTCGCTAATTAGATGAATGTTGGCTGCTTGATTGGGAAAGTGAGATGGGAAGGATTCCTTTTCACTTGTGAAGAAAGAGGAACTTGAACACAATTAAAATGGACTATGAGTTGCCCTCACATGATTGTCAGAGACCCTGGCTGCAGAGAAAGGCCATGGAGAACTCAATCACCCGAGATGTGCATAAGGTAGACGCAGCTGTCTAGTTTCAAACATGAACTTTCTAATTCCTTAAGTTAAGCGATGGTTTAGAAACTTCACTATCATTTGAATCGAGCTCACTATCTATGTGAACAGATAAATTAAAGTTTATTAATTGCCATTTGAACAAATCATCCACCTGGAGCAGATAACTAGTTTCTCTTTTTGGAGGTGTTCACTGGTGGACGCTCTGGTGGCTTAGTGATCAGGAATTCTGCGGTCAAAGCATACCGTATGTGGTTCAAATCCACCAGCTGCTCCACAGGAGAAAGATGGACAGTCAACTCCTGTGTGATTTATTGCTTCTGAAAACCCACTGGAGGGTTAACTATGGATTAGTTCTGACTTGATGATACACAACAACAACAACTTCAGTTCTGAGGGAACTCTGTTGGCTTAGTGTAAGGAGTTGCTCTGCCAACCAACACAAAGGTAGGTGGTTCGAATCTACCAGTTGCTCTGAGGGAGAAAGGCTGTCATCTCCTTCCATTCAATCTACTGCTTCTGCAAACCTGTTGGAGGATCAACCATGTGTCAGTTCTGACCCCACAGTATGTAACAGCCACAACTTAACTTCTGCAGTGGGTTGTCAACGTACATGAAAAGAGGATGCACTTTTCTATGTAAGATGTCAAACCTTGGATAGTATATCTGTCCTCTGAGAACTTAGAGGAATGTGCACAAGGTGCTTAGAAGGAATGAAACTGAGGATAGATGCCGACAGTGAACTCAGAGAAAGATGTGGTATTGTCTTCTATTCTAGCCTGCCGAGAACCAAAAATCTCAGACCTGGTGAGACGGAGAGTTCTTCCCATGCAGGTTCAATCAAGGTGAGTTGAGACATTTAACTCTGCTTTAAAAGAGAGCGAATATTTCCCTTCCATCCCTTTTCCACTGGTGTTTGGCCAAAGACAGTGTGGATTTTCTTAGGGACATTCCGTGCTGACTATAATAAAAGAATAGGGTTTGTTTGATGAGGCCTCATTAGAGGATTGGCTTTAGCCAAGAGGTAGCAACTATTGGAAGATATACAAACTTCCTTGGCTCATGGAAAAATAGGAGGTTGGTGAGAGAGAGAACTTTAAGATCATCTTGGGAGAACTGAGTGTTAATATATGAGTCTTCCTGAAATTTTAATCAACTTAAAAAATTATATAAATATATAAATGCAGCCAGTTAAGGTTTAAGAAAGCTCTAGATGGTGGAACCAGCTAATGTGTTCAGTTGTTGCGTTGTTTTGTGTGTGTGTGTGTGTGTGTGAGAGAGAGAGAGAGAGAGAGAGAGAGAGAGAGAGAGAGAGTGTGTGTGTGTGTGTGTGTGTGTGTGTGTGTTTCTTTGAAACAGAACTTGATTCTGTTTCTAAATGAAAAAGAACGGGTATGACAGTGACAAACAAGATTTTACCATGGAATATTCTAATTTGACTGCAGCAGTTTTGTATTTAAAACTCAAGAAGGAAGCAACTACCTTCCAAATGAGCTAAATATGCAGGTCCAAAAAAGGAAGAGTTATTTTAACTGCCACACTCGCTCTGAAACCCATTCATCTCCTTCTGCATCCCAAAGATGAGCACATGTTCTGCTTAGTTAGATCATAAAGTGGCAAACATGCAGCACCACTGACATCACAGGACAGTTGCCTATAAAACTAGACGTCTGATGCTGGACTCCAGCTTCGCTCTCTCACAGATCGTCATCCTTGTCCACGGGAGCAGTTGTCTGCACAACCTCTAAATCACGCTCATATTATGCTGCCAAAACTGGGTCCATGACAACCTCTGGTGGGGCAAGAGCAGGCATGGCATCAAACTCCAGCTTAGGGTCTCCAGTTAGTTTTCTAGCAAGCCAAAGGAAAGGCTTTTCAAAGTTGTAGTTACTTTTTGCAGAAATATCATAGTACTAGAGTCTTCTTTCGATGGAAAATGATGGATTTTGCCTTAGCTTTCTTGTCCTTAATATCCACTTTGTTGCCACACAACACAATGGGGATGTTTTCACATACTTGAACCAGATGCCTGTGCCTGTTAGGCACGTTCTTGTAGGTAACTCTCGATGTTACATCAAACATTATGATGACACACTGGGCTCAGATATAATAGCCTTCCACAGGCCCCACATTTCTCCTGGCCAGCCATATTGCACACATTGAATCGAATTGGTCCTCTGTTGGTGCGGGACACCAGGGGATGGGCCTGCTCACCTGAGGTGGCTACATACTTCCTGAATTCACCAGTCAGATCACGTTTCATGAATGTCCTTTTTCCACCATCGCCCACCAACATGAGTGTGAACTGGACTTGGAGTTTTCCTCGGGTGTCCATCATAATGGTTCTTCCAGAAGCATCTCTGGGACCTACCTGACTCTATTGTGTTCAGTTGTTAACATAAAGGTTGGCTGTTCAAGTTTATATCAAGGTGCATCAGAATAAAGGCCTGAAGATCTGCTTCCCCCAAATCTGCCTTGTGGAGCACGGTTTTACTCTGACACATGTGAGCTCTAACGTGAGTTAGAGTTAACTCAATGGTAACTGACGAACTGGAGATGGTTTAGGAAGATGTTCTAGTTTATAATAGCCAATTAGATGAGGCAGGCTAGCAGGCTCTAGGACCTGGGGATAAATGGCTAGCCATAACATTGTTGTTGTTGTTATTGTTGTTGTTATGTGCTTCCAAGTTGCCTGCAACTCATTGTGACCCTATGTACAGCAGCCCTAAACCCTGCTTTATCCTGTGCCAATCTTATTGTCTTTAACACACCTATTCCCATTACCCAAGTCACTAATTCTATCTCATTGAAGGTCTTCCTCTCCTATGCTGTCCCTTCATCCTGCCAAGCATGACATCCCTCTCCAAGGATTGGTCTCTCCTTATGCATGTCCAGAGTATGTCAGACAAAGCTTCAGGATCCTTGCCTCCAAGGAGCAGCTTGGTTTAACCCTCTCCAGGATTAACCTGTTCGTTCTCTTAGCAGTCCACTGTATATTCAAACAGTGGAGCTCCCTAACTATGTCTAGCCTTTCACTTGGAAAGCCAGAGATGAGAACCACATGATAATGAGAGAATGTTGCCATTGTTGTTGTAGTGTACCAGTAAGCATGAGAGAAAATTGCTAGCCTTTCTTTTAAAAAAAATAAATAAATAAAATTTTATTTCAATTATGATTTTAACGAACGTTTCTTATCTTTCTCCTGTGGAGCAGCTGGTGGATTCAAGCTGCATGCCTTCAGGATTGTAGTTCAGTTTCTTATCACTAGGTCACGAGAGCTCCCTTGTGAGAGAACAAGTCCAACTATATTTTCCCTTAGTTGTTTTGGAGCCACAATCAACATCCTTTGTACCAGTAGTCATGAGGAGATGCATTGCATTGGCCAAACTCGCTATCAGGGACCTCTCTAAAGTACTTAGGAGCAATGATGTTAGTTTGAAGACTGAGATGCACCTGATTCAGGCCATGATCTGTTTAGTCACTTGCTATGCGTCTGAGAACTGGACAATGAATACAAATGAGAGAAGACTGATCAATGCCTTTGCACTGTGGTTTGGGGAAGAGTGCTGGATGTCTCATGGACTGCTGAAAGCACAAACAGATCTGTCTTGGAAAAAAATGCAACCAGGGAGCTCCTTGGAGGCAAGAATAGTGAGGCTTCATCTCAAATACTTTGGACATGTTTGTAGAAGAGGCCAGTTCCTTGGAAATGGCCATCATACTTGGAAAGGTGAGGGTCAGCAGAAGAGGGGAAGACCCTCAATGAGAAGGATTGAAACAATGACTACTGCAATAGACACAAGTGTATCAGAGATGATAAGGACAACAGAGGATAGTGTAGGGTTAAGACCTGTTGTTCATAGGGTCACTATGAATAGTACTCAATGGCACCTAACAACAACAACAATAACATTTTTCCTATTCAGAAGGAAATACATTATCTCCTACTATTCTCTTTCTCATTCTCCACATGTATGCTGCCTGCTGTTTCTGCATAGTTAGGCTGTGGAACCTTTAAAATGTAGACTCTTCTGCTAAGAAACTGGGCCTACCAAATATTGTCAAGACTTAATGCCTTACCTCCTTCAGATCTCTCCTTAATTGTCTTCTAGAGAGCCCTCCTCTGACAACCGTTTAAATTGGCAATGCCAGTTCCACACTAGGGGATGAGCAGACCTCTTTGCTCAGTATCCCCCAAACTTTACCATCTGCTCCAGCTATCATCTTGGTGTCCTTCTCCTTCTGTTGTTTGCATCCATTGTCAATTTATTTGTTCAATTTGCCCGCATCTCCCCACTCCCCCCATATACTGTACAATCAACACCCTTCACACCAGCAGTCAGGAAATCAAAAGACAAGTTGCACGGGGAAAAATCTGCTGTCAAGGACCTCTCCACAGTGCCAAAGAGCTATGATGTTAGTCTAGAGACTAAGGGGAGCTTGATCTAGGCCTGGTCTTCTCAACTGATTACTCTGTGTCTGAGAGCTGGAAAAGGAATTAAGATGTCAGAAGAATTGATGTCTTTGATTTGTGGTGCTGAAGAAGAGTATTGAATATATCACAGACTGCTAAGAGAACAGGCCTGCTCTAGAAAGGGTAAAATCAGGTTGCTCCTTGAAGGCAAGGATTTTGAAGCTCTGTCTCATATACTTTGGGCTTGTTGCCAGGAGGGACCAGTCCTTGGAGAAGGACATCATGCTTGGAAGGAGCAGGAGAAGATGACTCTGGATAAAATGGATTGACACAGTGACTGGCAATGGCATAAAATATGTTAAAGATGGTGAGGTTGACTCAGGATAGGGCAAAGTTCAATGCCATTGTTCATAGCATCATTATGAATCCTAGTTGGCTGGATGACACGTAACAAGATGGACTATACAAATGTAGGAATATTATTTTGCTTCTACTGAACACCCAGTGCCTAGAATGATGTTGGTCATGTAGCAGATCCTCGATAAATAATTATGGAGTAAATAAATTGGTTTGATAAGTAAAACTGGTATACCTAGTTCCGTCTCTCTCTAGTGCTGAATGTCCTTGGACAAGTTCCTAAACTTATTTAGTTTTATTTTCCCATTTGGAATTTAAAAAAAAAAAAAAGAGGATAATCATATCCGTCTTTGGAGACTGTTGTAAGAATTAAGTGCAATATAAATAGCTAACATTGATTGTTTGTGGCATGTCACTTGGTCCCCTTGAGCTCTGGTGGCCTAGTGGGTTAAGAGTTGTGCTGTCAACACAAAGGTAGGTGATTCGAATCCTTCAGCTGCTCCACAGGAGGAAGACAGACAATTTCCCACTGTGACATTTACAGCTTCTAAAAACACACTGGCAGATCAGATATGAGAGGGTTCTGACATGATACCCTATAAGAGCAACGTGAAGTTGGTATTCTGAGCAATTGACATTTTTAACAATCCTTTTAGATCACTTATTTAACCCTCTGAGGACATAGTGTGGATGGAATATGTTGAGCTGCTAAACAAAATGTAGACAGTTCGAATCCACCAGTCATTCTATGGGAGAAAGATGAGTACTCCTTTATTAAGATTTACCATCTCAGAAACCTGATGGAGGGGGGCAATGTATCAGGACCAACTTGATGTAGGTGAGCTGGATTACAATTTCAAGTGTGGTTACAAGTATCACTGTTGAATGGGTAAGTGCAGAGAAATTCAGTAGCTTGCCTAATGTCATATTGCAAGGGATAAAACCAGGACAGAAATCCGGCATCAGATGTACATTTATCTGGCTTCAGATTATTCTCCTTTACTCACTGCTATGATGATGATGATGATGATGATGATGATGATGATGATGATGTTGTAATGTTGAGTTGAGTGTGACTCAAAGTGATCCTATAAAAATTGTTGTTGTTATGTGCTGTCGAGTTGCCTGCAACCCAAAGTGACCCTATGTACAACTGCCCTAAACCCTGCTCTATCCTGTGCTCATCTTATTGTCCCTGACAGCCTTACCCCCATTTCCCCAGTCATTGAATCAATTCATCTCATCCAGGGTCTTTCTTTCCTGTGCAGTCCCTACACCCTCCCAAGCATGACATCCCTCTCCAAGGACTGGTCCCACCTTGCAACATGTCCAAAGTATGTTAGATGAAGTCTCAGAATCATTGCCTCCAAGTAGCAGCCTGGTCTCACCCTTTTGAGGATGAGCCTATTTGTTCTCAAGCAGTCTATGATATATTCAGAACTCTTCTCCAGGACCACAGCTCAAAGGCATCAGCTCTCCTATAATTTCTAGTTACTGTCCAGCATTCTGATTCATAACAAGTAATTGCAAAGACTATGGCCTGAGTCAAGCACACCTTAGTCTCCAGACTGACATCATTGTTCTTCAGTACTTTGGAGAGGTCTCTGACAGCAGGTTTTCCCAATGCAATTCGTCTTTTAATTTCCTGGCTGCTGGTACTGAGTGTTGATTGTGGAGCCAAGCACTAGGCTTAACTAAATTTTTATTGGAAATAATAACATTGAATCCCAGTGTCTGGACTTGCCCTTGACCAAGCTGAATAGATTATCCATCAGGAAAGGCCTAGGGCTTTCGGACTATGACATCCCTTGTCTCTTTCTTCCTCTTCAAGCAAAACATCTCTTTGGATGCAGTGACAGTAGAATCCAAAATCTGCTGTCTCTTCTGATCTTTGTGATTTACTGGAGCTGAATTCTCTACTTTGTGGGACAAACTTATTCTTTCCAAGGAAGCCTGTTATAGAAGTGTGTGTCAATTCCTCAAAAAGAACAGGGGCTTTCTGATTTTAAAACAACTGGAATTGGAAGCCAGTTTAACAGATGCCAGCTGTCTCAAGTGCATAAGCCAACAGACTTTTTGGGGAAGGCCAACTCATCCATTAGACAGATGGGTTACTAGAGTGGGGAGTCTGCTGATCTCAAGCAGCCAGTCTCCACCAAGGCTATGTAGCCCTTCAGCATCTATGAGTTAACTTGTTTTACATGCTCAAAACTTGAACTGAAGACTTAGGTCTGATTATGGGCTAACAGTGTGTTGAATTAAATAACTTGCAGCTGTGATATTTCCTCTGAGTAAAAGTACTGTGTGCTCTGTTGTACTTAGGGTTTTTGAAGGCCTGTTATTTCAGAAGTGGGTGGCCAATCCTTTTTCCTAGTCTGTCTTAATTTTTTTTATAATATTGGGCAGACAAGCATTTTACAGAAAAGAGCAAATGAAAGACATTCATCCAATTAGAAAAATGACTAATAGATTCAATGTTCCTACCTACCTTGCCCTGTGTGTCTTGACCCACCCTTTTCCCTACACCAGCAGCATCCATTTCTACTTCCACTTACACCATTCAACACCTCTCTCCTCTTAACCAGCCCTTGATATGATGGCTTAAGTCTCAAGCTGTCAGGATTTCTGTGATTCCGTACACCTCATGCTGCTGCCAGTCTCTTATGATGTGGCTAGCATCTCTTCAATTTAAGGAGTCTCTAAGTACAACTATCAGGTATCAAGGATGGCTTTCTACCTTAGACCATTCTAGAAAACAAAGATTCTCACCACTGGGCTGATTGGCAGCATCATTATGGATGGTGAAGAGATTAAAATAGTTAAGAGTTTTAGTTTGCTTGGCTCCACAGTCAACAGTCTTTGTACCAGCAGCCAGAAAATCAAGAGATGAATTGCATTGGGAAAGTCAGCTGTCAGGGACCTCTCCAGAGTACTGAAGAGCAATGACATCAGGCTGAAGACTAAGGTGCACCTGATCCAGGCCATAGTCTTTGCAATTGAGTGCTATACATAGGAGAGCTAGACAGGGATGATAGAAAGATGCCTTCGAGTTATGGTGCTGGAGATGAGTGTTTAATATGGACTGCTAGGACAAAAAACAGGTTTGTCCTGGAGAAGGTGAAGCCGGGCTGCTCCTTAGAGTCAAGGGGAGGGACCATTCCTTGGAGAGGGATATCATGTTTGGCAGAGTGGAGGGACGGTGCAGGAGAGGAAGACCCTCGATGAGATGGATCGATTCAGTGATTGGAGTAATGGGAGTGGGTGTTTCCGAGACCATGAGGTTGGTACAGGATAGAGCAGGGTTTAAGACTCTTGTACATAGGGTCGCTATGAGTCACAAGCGACTCGAGAGCACATAACAACAACAACAAAGTACTGTGCATATATTGAAAATGGATTTCTTAAGATAGTAATACAACCCTGCTGGTATAGACAGCAGGAATGTCACTATGGCTGCCAAGTTCTACCTTGGGTACCATTACCTCACCGTGGAACTTGTGCACCCCCATTTCCTTCTCTGTGGTATATTCATCTATTAAACAGGGAAGAAAACTAAATTCCTAAAGGAGTTCCTGCCTTCCTGTTCATAGTCATTATGCACCAATATGAAATGAACACAAGGTCTGAAATGTGTGCAAGTGTTCCCCGAGAATCCCCAAGTGGTCTCTGGGGGCTTCAACTTTAGAGCTCATTTAATATGTCTTTTTCCATTTACATATAAAGCTCTGTATTTCTCCCAGTCAATGTGCCCTGAGAGACAGTTCTGTCCCCTGAGATGTGCTAATTACATCGCTAATTGCTAAATCAAGCTACTGTATCAACACAGTTTAGTTCAAGTCAATTCCTAATATTGTCCTATTATAAAAATGTTTAAAGGGAGGAAAATATGCCTGTATATTTCTACTTCAAATTAACTCCCTTCCCGGTATAATTTCACAATGAGTATTTTTGTGTGTGCGCCTGTAACAGAGTACCTTTGGATAACAGCTATTATACCAGCTACTATTTATTCTCTTTGGTTAAAAGCGTAGGTAGCTGGAAGGATGCCAACAATGGGAATTGAGAAATGAAAATGAAAGCTGAGGCATGGAAAACAATTAAGAGAATTGACTCAGTGGTAGATTGGAAGAAAGAGAGAAGGGTGTGTGTGTGTGAGAGAGAGAGAGAGAGAGAGACACAGAGGGAGTGAGAAAGGAGACTGGCTGAGACTCGCCTAGTCATTATTCTCCGTATCCAGATATCTCCCTGGAGATAGACGTGGATGCTGAAGGAGTTGTTATGGCTGTTTCTCACTTTGCTTTGTCTGACCCTGGCTCAGGGAGACGCCGTTACACCAGCTATACTCAGCAGCACTCAGTAAGCAGAAACTGCAGGGCGCCCCTACCAAGAAGCCAGTTCTTCCCTTTGGAGACCTGCCTGCCGGCTACCAGCACCTGCACACCCAGCTCCAGTACGAGTGCATCTCACCCTTCTACCGCCGCCTGGGCAGCAGCCGGAGGACTTGTCTGAAGACCGGGAAGTGGAGTGGGAGGGCCCCGTCTTGCATCCCTAGTGAGTGAAGGCCTATGTCTGGGGTGGAGCAGCTTCCACTTTGCTTGGCTGCTTGTAAACTAGATAAATTATGTATGCTGTGAAACAGATGAGGGAAAGAACAGATTAGAGGTGATATATGATTGAGTATTATGGTTAGCACAGGAATCCAGAATTAAGATTGCATAGATAAGTGTACTGGGGTGGGGGAGGGAGGGAAGGGATAAGGGAATTGTATACTAATGAAGGAAATTTTTTTTCTTTTTCTTTTTGGAGAGTGGAGCGAACTGGTGGGGAGGGGTGGGCAGGGAGAAAAGGGCGGCAATGAATGAATGGAAATCCAAAACCTCTGTAAATGCCTATTAAGATTAATTTTTTAAAAAAGTAAAAGAAACAAACAAACAAACAAAAAAACCCCAACACAGGCAGAAAAGTGCAACAATGAATTAATGGAAATCCAAAATATCTGTAAATTCTCATTAAAATCAATAATAATTTTTTTTAAAAACAAACCCAACAAAGAA